TACCTAGCTGCCTCCAGTCGTTGTCTGCACTGATCCCTTACTATTTTTTCAACTTTGCGCTAGGTGCTGTGGGCTAATACAAAGAAATATAATCCCCCTGACTTTAAGGAGCTAAAAAATGTATTGGTGGGCAGTGAGGGCTAGGGTGGTTGGGAAAGGCTTCCTTGAAGAGGTAACCCTTGTGGGGCAGCTAGGTGGTGCAGGGGATAGAGCACCGGCCCTGAAGTCAGGAGGACCTGAGTTCAAATTCGGCCTTAAACCAAACACTTGACACTTACTAGCTGTGTGACCCTGGGCAAGTCACTTAACCCCAATTGCCTAAAAATGAAAAAAGAGGTAACCCTTGAAAAACAGCATTTATACAGTCAAGCTAGGGGAATGTCATGAGCAAAGGCCCAAAATCCTATCTGGGGGACAAATGAAGAGACTGTCCTGGATGCTAAATCACATTTCTATAGATAGCTCTTTACAATGCTTTACTCACAACAACTCTGTGAAGAAGGTAGTAAAATCATTGTCCCCATTTTATGGATGAGGAAACTAAGCAATTTGCCTAAAATCACACAGCTGGGAGAGGCAGTATTCAAACCACAGACCCTGGCTAAGCCCAGCCGTCTTTCCATTATGCCCTGATATATGGATAGAGTGGGACCAGATTCTGGAGGGTGCTGAGAGCCAAGCAGTGCACATTGATGGCACAATCCAACAACACGCCTATAAGACAATTTAATGCTATTGCTTCACTTTCGCCCACTAAGCCTGTTCCTGAGCTCTGTTCTCCACACCTCTGCTCCTGAGTCTCCCTCCTCACCCCCACCCTCAAAGAGAGAATGTCCACAGCTGGCCATGTTTCCAGACCTTTCTGGATTCTCACTCCAACATTTGCCCCACTTTTCACAGGTTCAGGGGTTGGTCCATTCCTATTGTCAGGACTTTACCTGACCACTGGAGGCACACTGATTCCTCCCCAACTCATTCATGGAAAACTATCTTTTAGATCAACAGGAATAAAAGTATTTTTTAAAGGGGGGAAGGAATTTTTACTAGGAAATGAAGGGACAACAGAGAGAGACAGACAGAGACAGACAGACAGACAGACAGAGAAACAGAGAGAGAGACAGAGAGAGAGACTCCAGAGCTAATGAGTTTTACAAAGGTCCTAATTCTCACTTCCACTAATATCTGACTAATTATTGGCTCAAAATCTATCAACCAGGTTCTTTGGCTCCCTTCAATCTTACCAGGGTTGGATGCTAAAGAAGTCTTCTCAGACTTTTAGTCCAATTCATACTGGATTCGTAATACTTGCAATAGTTCCAAGTCTGGGGTGATTATGCAGTCCCTCCCAAAACCTGCTTCCCACCCTTATCTCCAAGGTATAAGCTCCTAGGTCATTGTTGCTGGTCCTAGGTTGCACTGTACTCAGTGAGATTCTAGCAGTCCTGGGGCCTTGTCCTAGTTCCAGAATAAGAAAGGTACTTCCCTATTAGGCCCCTAAAAGTCCTCCCCTAGACTTCTGGTCATCCACTACAGTTTCAGCTCTCTACCCTCGGTGCCACCTAGCATCTTGGTCTAATCTATCCGTCGGCACATGGTCTCAGTATCTGGTGCCATCTTTACTAGAATCCAAGCTCCACCATCTCAGTTCTTCTAAGAACCTGATGCCAACTCCCTATCTATTCTCATATCACAACCACTCTTTCCTTTTGGGCTACCTCGTTAAAATCCTTCTTCCTCTCTGAAAGATGCTTCCACTTCTTGGTTCATTGGTTGTTCAGAGATGACCGATAGGTCCTGAATTCAATGAGCTCTCTAGGCTCAGGTCTCTTACTAGTTCCACTCACCTCCCCAGCCTCTCTTTGCTGAATCATCATCCCCCATACTCTGCTCCCTTCCCCCACCCATATAGAATCTCCTAGAATCACTATCACTCCAATTTGACAATACTCAAAATAAATACTTTAAACATAAAATAGTGAACAGTTTCCAGAGAAGTATAAGAGGAGGGTCATCTTTCCTCTACTTCCATCGAGTTAAGGCCCTGACAGCTCCTTTGGATCTGTGGGTATCAACAAGACCAGAGGGTATGCTGAGACAGAGTGGGTGGCTCTTTACTAATATGATTTTAGGGATGTTGGGGTTTGCCCTGGCTGCCCCCAAACTTCCTTCCCTAACATCCTGTGACAGCACCAGGAATTCCCCCATTAATCACTTCTTTGGTTTAAGGCACTGAAGGCCAATGTTAAAATATTAATTTATCACCTAGGACAGAAAACACATTAATCTGTCATCTACCAGTAATCACCTCCATGGCTTGCATGAGCAGATGATTTGCTAGAGAGAATCCTGCAAAGGGGCAGGGAGGGTGTGCAGTGGGAACCGGAATTAGAAGTCAGGTGACCTGGGTCCAAATCCCAGCTCTACATGAGTTTAGGCAAATCATTTGAACTCCCTGGGCTTCTGTTTCTTCACGTATAAAACAAAGGTCCTTTCTAGCCTTAAATCTGTGATTCCATGAACCTAGCAATCAGGACACCTGGGATGTAAGGCCTAGGTTTGCCATTAACTAGTTATGTTACAGTGGGCAAGGGACTTCAGCTCTTCAGGCCTCAGTTTTATTTGTAAAACAAGGTATTTATACCAGATCTATAAAGTCCTTCTCCTTCCAATCTCTGAGCCTCCAACAGATCAGATTAGCCGGACAAGAGAGAAGGGGCCTAGGGAGCTACAGAGGGGTTGGACCCATGACCAAGTCAGGAGAGACCCTGGAAAGGTGCAGAATATGACACACTGCCCTGAGAGGAAAAGGTATCATGTCGAGAGAGTTTAGAGGGACAATTTTTAAAAAAATCTAGCTGTCTTTGCAATTTTACAGATTCAACAAGCATTTATTAAGCACCTCCTATGCACCAGGCATTGGGTATGCATTCAGTGTGAGAGGCTGGACCAAAGCACCTCCTGTGTGCCAGGCATTGGGTATGCATTCAGTGTGAGAGGTTGGACCAAAGCACCTACTGTGTGTCAGGCATTGGGTATGCATTCGGTGTGAGAGGCTGGACCACTGGAAAGCCTGAAATTGTAGCTCAATGAGTCTGGGCAGTTTGGGGTGAGGAGTGCAAACTTGAAGCTTGGGTGACAGACAAGTCAGATGTTGATTCAGAAAGTGGGTCCTCAAATTCAGTGCTCTGGCCTCTCCAAGCCAGTCTCTTGGCTTTTCCTTCCCCTGTCCCAGAGTCCCGTCCAGGCCCAGAACCTCTGGAAAGCCCCAAGTGTAGTTTTTGCCCTCCCTCCCTGTTATTCTTGGCTCTGGAAGGCCAGGAAGCCCATCCCCTCAGCTGGCTAGGCAGCCCAGGGCTCCGAGGGCTGCTCCCAAGGCCTCTGTTCTCTGCAGGAAGAGGAAAGGGGCGGCTGGGGCCTCGCGTGTGAGTTCCTGTGGTGAGTGGGGCCTCAGCTGATGCTGGCTGCTCCTGCTATCTGTCAGCTGCAGTAGTTGTAACACACTCATTTCCCCTTCCCCCTCCCCAGAGGGAGGGCCTGGGGGTGGGCCAGAGGGGGCTGGGGCAGGACAGGGTCACAGTTTCATCATGACATTGTAGTTATCCTTATAAGGGAACATTCCCTCCTGTGCCTTGCAGCTCTGTAGCTCGCCTAAACTGCAGAGCTGGCTGGGGTGAGGGGAGATTCTCTGGGTCCTTGGAGGAAAGGAGGGGGGTGGGGTGAAGATGAACAGGCCAGTCTGTGGCTCCTCCCAGCCCAGACGTGTTAGATAGCTTCAGAAGTACTAGGTGTTCTGTGGGATGGCTTCAGGGAGCTAAGAAGGTGGCATCCCTGCTTTCAGTGGCCTCCCCTCAATCCTCGTAATGCCTGGAGGTGAAAAGCTTAGGGGAGCACGGCTCCAAGCCCATCCTGAAGAACCCGTCCTTAGCCCCCAACTCACTACTTCCCCTGCTGCTCCCCAGACCATGGAGATTTCTCCCTCAGTTTTCCCTGGGTTCAGTCAAAAATTTCACCCTCTGCAAAACATCTGGGATTTAAAACCACTGAGAATTATTTTTTTAGTGTTTTTTTAATAGAAAAGTATTTTTCTCTGACTATAGTAGGCTTCTATTGGCCTATAGATACCTGCCACTCACCATCCCACCCCTCAACTGCTGTGAGATTCAAAAGAACTGATGGTTCTCTTCCTGACCTCTGTTAGTCCAATAATAAATACACCAAGACCTAGAGAAGCTGGGCCACCCACTTCTCAGCTAAGAACCTTTGTGAGGTCTAGCCTCCCCCAGCCATCAGGTTTCACAGACTGGGGTCCTGAACCAGGGGGAATGGCCTATACATGCATCAGCTCAAAGAGTAGGGCAGTAGAGAGTGGGGAAGCTACCTCCCCCAAGCCTGAGCTCTCTGGTGCCATGAAGGGGGGGCTTTTGACTTGGTGTCCTATTATCATACTGCCTCACTCCTGTGGATCACATTCTGAGCATGGTCCTGGCTGGCCTGGGGTCTGGGGTCTTGAGGGAAGAGTGTGAGAGTGGGGCCTTTAGAAGAACATGGCCATGAGACATTCCTTGTTGCCATGCTCATGACCGGGGGGTGGGGGTCAGTCTTCACATACTGTCACTTGTTATGATCACCAGCTCCTCTGCAGGAACCATTTCCAATTCCCCTCCATGGGTTCTGAAAAATAACAGCGGAACAAAACTGAGGGGGGGGGGGGGAGAATTGAAATGAAATGTGCCTGCCTGAAGTTCAGAAGAAAGACTTGAGAAAAGGCATAGCACTTCCAGTCAAGCTTATAAAGAAGGGGTTAATGAATCTCTCTGAGGCCTGGATCCCAAGGACTTGAACTGGCAAGACCATCTTTCTTCAATAGACGTTACCAAGAAGACACTAATACCCAAGGCTCAGTGTCTGCAAGGGGCTCCAGTTTTGGTCCTAAGCCCTCTGGTCCTTCTCTCTCCAGCTGACAAGTCTTGTCACCAACGAACAGCTCCAGGGCAGAGACATACTTAAAAAGGGGTTTTATTGCCAACTCTCAAAAATTATGTTGTGTACTAGAAGCAAAAGACACGGAATGCTATTTCTCCTCCTCCTCCTCTGGCCAGGCCAGTGAAGCCACCACCATTCACATTTATTGTCCCCTCATCCCTTCCAAGGACCTCTTTCATTAAGAAAGGGGAACCCCATATGTGGAGCTCATACCAAACTGGCCTTAAAAGGGAGTTGACTGGGACAGGACACAACAGATCAATGTAGACCAATGATTCAGTTTTTTAAACTAGCACCCCTAGAGAGGTGGAGGTGGGGAGGGTTGTCCCTATAGGGAAAGAGAGGATGGTGGGAATCCTTTGTATAATGTACACATTGGCTCTTATTTACATGAAATATAAGCCTGCTGCCTACTCCAGGGTGCCACCTCCTCCTGGAGACCCTCAAACTTTTCTCTCCACACCCTGCTTACTGTCACTTCCCAGTAATCAGAGGCCCTACAGTGACCTCCAGGAATGGGAAATCCACCCCATCTCCTATCCCCATTCAACCCTCAGTGTTGTGGACAACCGAGGTGTGTGTCTCAAAGTTAGAGGGAGCTGAAGACTGTCAGCAAACAAGTCCCCACACACCTCTCTAAAGCAGAATTCTAGGAACGATTCCAATTACACCCCATACCTCCAGCACCACCCTGGAGAAAGGCCAGCTTAATCATGGCACTATCTTGTGTTACAAGAGAAAATTTCAGTAAATAAGGCATCAGTTTGCATTACTAATTTCTGCTGTAGCCAATGCCCTTGCTTGACAAAGGCCAGCCCACAATTCCAACATTAAATGACTACTGTATGCAAGGCACTGTGCCAGGTGCTGCATTATTAGGAAGGTCCATGGTGGCATTCTCTCTTTTTTTTAATCCTTCACTAAACAAAAAGTGCTCATGCAAAAAAAAAAAGCCCAGAAAATGTCTGACCCCAGCATAGACTTTGGGGGGCCTTTTGTGAAATTTCCAGAGTAGGTTAGGCTCCTGAGCAGGCATTCTGTGGCTATAACGGGGGGATATTGAGCTCCAGGCTTCTTCTGGGGAAGCAGCTGAAAACGCAGAATCCGATCTTGGCTGATAGATGACGATTGGCTGAAGATGACACACAAAGCAAATTGACTATAACATCTCCCTTATACCACCCTGCCCCTTCCTCCCCCTACAAACCCCGGAAGTGGAGACAGTTATGAAGCCAGGGAAAGAAAGGTAGGGAAAATGTAATTCCTATCACTTCACTGGTCCTTCCTTCTTTCCACTGAACCATCCCAATCTCCAGCCCCAGGGAAAAGTAGGTGTGTGATTAGGAGGGGGAAAGGTTGAGGACAGAGGAGGGCACAAGTCCCCACACGGTCCAACTCTATCCCAGATCATCCACATTGACCTTGGTGGAAATCACCAGGAATCACTTGTCTGGCCTGGGCTGGGCTGGTTATCCACTGGTATGGCTGAGAGGAATTACTCATTCAATTACTATAACTAACACCACTCCAATGAATGTTTGTGGTCATTTACAAGAAGTGGCCTGATTGACAATTTAACCAATCCAGGTGAAGGAAGGAGGCTAAGTATATAGACGGCATAAATGTAAATGTCATTTGAGGAGGACAAAAATTAGGATCCTCCGGAGGTGTGTTTATTTTTCAGTCTAAAAAAATGGTTCTTTTTAGTGTCCACTGAAATTAATGTAAGAATTTAAGAAATTGATAGTCTGGGTCACAACCCTGCACAAAAGTAGGGGGATGAATCAGGTAAGCCCTTGAGAGCCCTTCCAAAGAGAATCATGGAAACTTATGTGGGCTCAGAATTCCATAGCTAATTGGTCCCCTAAGGCCCAGCACTCCTTATCCCTCCTCATTCTGCAGCAGCAACCCCCTACCAGTCTGGGAAAGGGTCTCAGCCTGACGGCTTGAGTTTTAGGAACCGAAAAGTAGAAAGACTCAAACTCTTTTTTGCTACGTATAGGTAGACAGTCCGTCTACATAGTCCCTGAAGGACAATGATGAAATGAAGTTGCCCCCAAATTCCCTTTTCCCCAAAGGACACAACAAATGATGTGCTCTGGAGCCCAGAATGTAAACTCTTGCACACCCACAACCCCCTTCAGGACATAGGGCTAATAATGGGCCCAAAGCTAAACCAAAGTGGCTAAGACAACAAATACTGAGACATTAAGAATGATCAAAGGCAGCCTTGACTTTTCTCCCTGAGTGGGTAGCGGACACTATTGTCACTCCTATCTCTCTGTGCTGCCCATGTAGGGTATCAGGATAATGGCAGAGGGAACCACAACCCAAGAAATACAACTGGCTTTGTCGGTAGGGACCATCAATCCCTGGTGAATCCTGGCTAAATGGTGTGTCCCACTTACTAGCTCTCTCTTGGGCTGATTGATAGCTCCAGCCTAGACCACGTTGGGAAAGCCCTAGTTCTAGACTCAACCCATGAATATTGTCAGGCAACAACACTGAGAGGAGGGGGAACAGAATTTCCAGAACAGTTACAGCGTATGACTGTTCTCTTCTGGCATAACTGGCCTTCCTTTCAAAGATGCCTTTTCTCTCCTGATTGGTCCACCACCAGCCTGATTTCACCTTCAGATGAGGATGCAGATGGCCAGACGGTAAGGAGAGATGTTCTAGCTAGAGACCACACAGCAGAGATGAGCTTGGATATTCATGGGCACCCCTAGAAGGATCCCCTTCCCTGTGTCTGAGGCCGAGCACCCTGAGGCATCCTGGGTATATCCAGCTATTTGGGGTTAGATGGAGACCCTGGAGGGCTGTGAGATGGAGACATGTGATCGACTGGTTTATGAGCCAGCAGGCTGTCATCCCTCCATATGGATGAAGAGAAGACTTCACTAGAAAGAGAGCATTAAAAAGAAGAGGGAAGGGGGGCCATTGCAAAGAAAGTAGCTGGACAAAGGGTAGGGCCAAGACCAGTCTTATGACCGTCTGTTGGCCCAGTAACAGCATTGGTGAATAAAAATTTTGAAGGAGACCATAAAAGGGAAAAAAAGAAGAAAAAAAGTGCTTCAGCATGTCCTAGGGAGCACTTCTCCTATACAGAGTCACTAGGTCCTTCTGCTTTTCTTTCTGCTTCTCTGTCAGGGTGGTCGGTGGTTCCTTGTTCAGTTCTCCTAAAACTTTAATTTCTTGCAAGACTTGGGTCGCTTGCCTCAGCTGCTCTACTGCCTGGTTGAGCAATGTCTCAGCATTTACAGGGGGTCCGTTTCCCTCCTGGGCATGCTCCAACTCCCTGCCTAGGACCTGGCTCAAGAGCTGTTCAGTCTTTTCCCTTTCAGAAGTCACCTTCTTCTCCATACTGACCAGCTGGCGCCTGTCCCAGAGCAGGCCTTGACCCTTGTCATTCTCAGTCAGCAGGTTCCCAAGGGAGGCACATCGGGGCTGCAGTGGTGGCAGTACAGGGGGTCTATCCTGGAGGGTTGCCCCTGAGCCCTCCTGGGCTCCCTTGTCCTCTAAGATGGCTGAGCTGGACTCTGAAGGAGCTAGCTGCCCCTCTCCCTCCTTCAAGGGCGTCTTCTGGTCGCCTCTATTCTCTACAGCTCCCTGCAGACACGATTCTAGAATGGGTTCAACCCCATTCGCATGGTCATTCAGGCCATTCACTGAAACTTGGGAGCAACCTGGATCAGGATCGGAGGTCTCGGAAGCCTGGGAGTCCTGGCATTGCTCTAGACTGGTGGTCTCACTCCCCTTCAGAGCTGCTTTCAATTTCTCAGACAGGATCTTTGGTGGAGGGGCCGGGGGTTTCCCTCCCTCCTTGGAAGCAGTCTCTGAACTGGTGAGTTGATCTGATTCTTTGCCCACAGGAATGGGAGGCTCTGGGCTTGGATTTTCCCAGCTTACTTTCAGTTTGTCAGGCTGGACCTTGGGAGGTGGCTCAGGAGGCTTATTTCCTTCCGTCAGGTTCTCCTTACTACCCCCAGGCAGGGTTAAGGTTTCCAAGTCCTCCTCAGTTGTTTCTGCCATACCCTGGTGCTCAGGATGGTCCTGGGAATTATCAGACACAGGAGTTGGGATGCTCTCCTCCACCTCTGGTTTTTCAGCACTACCTTCCAAATTTGCCTTCTCTGGATCCTGGGAGGGTTTGGTTGGAGGCATGGGTGGTCGAGGTACTCCTGTAGGGGGAGAATCACTGATGTTGTTGCTGGAAGTGAAAGAGGGGGGCTCACTGTCTGGCACATCAAGGTCCAGCCTCGACAGCCCATCTGATGCAGCACTGGCCACCTGGTTGGGGGAGAGAAGAGGAGAGACTGAGTGCCATCTTCCACAACTACTGTTGTTCAAGGCAAGGAGAAGGCAATGCAGACAGTGGCAAGGACAGCTTACGAATGGCATTAATGCTCTTCTCAAAGTCACCTGGGTCAGGGGGATCAAACAATTGTTTTAGCTAAGTTTCAGAGTTACTAGGCATTTACTCTCCCCTGTGCCCCCCACCTCCGCCCCATATACACACAACAGGATTCTATGACATTCTAGAGGTATCGGAATAGACAGGAAAGATGGAGTTTATTATTTATAATACTTATGAATGGAAAAAGAACACTGAGCTGAGAGGCAGGGGAACTGGGTTCTAGTCCCAGATATGTTAGTAACTGACTGCAGGGCTTTTTTGTTTGATGTTTTTTGGGGGGCTTTTCAGAGGCTGGAAGTATAGCAACCACTCACAGACCTGATTCCACTGCTGACTTGCACAAAAGTTTTGATGAGCTCCATTTCTGACCTGAGCCAGTTTACCCTTCCTTGGGCCCCTATAATAGGGACAACACCCCTATTCCCAAGGAACCACTATATTGGTTCTGGACTTAGCTCAAATGCCTAATCAGCTTCAGCTCAGAACTCTCAAGCTCAAGGGATCCACCAACCTCAGTCTCCCCAAGTAATAGGGTTATAGGCATGGGCCACCAAGCCTGGCCAACTATGTGACTGTGGACAGGTCACTGAACATCGCTGGGCTTCAATTCTGACTAGAAGACTTCTAAGGTTTCTGCTAATGTTCTATGACTCTGACGATCTCCTTCAGAGCTATGGCCTGATTTCTTCTGAGTCAGGCTTACCTGCGTGTAGTTTAGTCTACATGTTGTGAATTTAGTCTATACTTGGGGAGCAAAATGGAGAGAGGAAGAGAGAATGAGACTGAGCAGGGTCCATGAAGTTGTGGCTTTTCCCTACCCAATTGAGATGGTTTTTCCCACATCAGCTTCACAGTACCACCATCTTGGGAAAAAACTATTCCCAGGACATCATGGACAATAATATTCCTCTAGTGAGGAAGAATTTTGAACAAAGACAATGAACCAAACTCAAGTCCACTGAGTTATGTGGAAATCAAGGAAGCCACCCACGGGCACCAGTCAATAAGTCAGTCAACTACCTGGGCACCAGCAAGAAGATGGCCAGCAGGAAAGGCTTGTGTGGTAAATATTAACAGAAAAGAACACTAGATTGGACCTCAGGGTCCTAATCCTAGATCTCTCACTAATATGCTGTATGACCTGGGACAAGTTATTTCTTCTCTCTGGGCCTCAGTTTCCTCATATGTAAAATGAGGGGTTTAGACAAAAGGATCAGTAAGGTTCCTCTCAACTCTAAAATTCTATGACAGAAACTTGCTATTTTCCTTGAGGCTATTCATGGTCTCATGAGCTTCATAAATATCATTAGGTGGAAAAAGTGGGAAATGCCCAAGTGATTCAGTAAAGATCTATTTTCTTAGACTCGCATCAACAAAGTGCCAGTCCTGCTTCCCATTCTCCATCATCCTTCTTACAACTCTTGCCCGGTGTCTTTTTCTTCCTCGTGTAAGCTTTTTTTTTCTTTCTACCCTTTCTCTTCTCCCACCCTACTTCAGATGGAAAGTTGGGGAGGGGTTGCAGGGTCAGTAAATCCCCTCTGCAATTCCATCTGAGCTCTGTCTAGAGCTCCTGCTCCAATCACCCCATGTCTAGTTATACAACTACGTATGGGGAGAAACTGAGGCACAAAAGTAGTGAAAGGACGTGCTCTACAACTGATCAGCAACAAAATTCAGATGTATTCCACCCACCCCCATTCCCCTCCCAAGTCCTTTTCTTATTAACAGGCTACATTTTTTTCCTTCTAGACTCAGGTATGCCTGACCTTCTAGGGGAAGTATATTGCATCTGATGGGAACAGTAGTGTAAGGGAAGACAGGTTCCCCCTTCCTCTCCCAGGTTTCACAAGGGTCAGAGAAGAAACCTGGCACTGTGAGTCATAGACAGGAAGTTGTTATGAATTAGGGTCCTATTTAGAAGAAGAAGAAAAAACCAGAACGGCTCAGTAGTTTCTCCAGAGACCCTGCTCTGAGGTGCCCTGTCTTGGCTCTGTGAATCGGCACAGCTATTCCCAAGTAATTCCTACTCCAGTGAGTCCTCGGGCCTGTTATCCAGGGGAACATTCTCCCTTGAAGGAAGAACGAGCAGTCACAAATACAGGAGAAATCCAAAGGTTAAGCCCCAAAACCAGTTTATTTTCAGGAGGAAAGAAGACAGTTGCATAATAAACACACCAAAAAGTCCCTCTTTCTCCCTACCTCCCTGCCTGTCTTGAGGGTTCTGTGGAGCTGGTTCATGATGACTCGCTCCTGAAGCTTGCTCAAGGCCTCACTGATCTTTGAGGGGTCCAGGGAGGTCCCTCCTCTGTACCCAGGACACTGATCTCTCCCGAGAAGTTCTTTTAGCTTCTTGTAACGTCTGAGCAGGGGCATAATCCCACTGCACGGCCTAACCCGTGAGACCCAGAGATTCTCTCCGACCACCCAACCACAGAGACACTCAGACGTGCCGCCTTCTCCTTCCCTTCTCCCTGCCTCTTGCCCTGATCTCGAAGCCTATTCTATCCCTGCTGGACCCGGGTCCTTCAGTTCTCTCCAGCTACTTCACTCTTGCTCTCTCTTGCCCCAAAGCATGATCAGCTTTTCCCAATTTTAGAAACAACCTTCACTTTCTCCTGTGGCTACAATCTTATTTCCCTGCTTCCTTTCACACCCAAACTATCTACCTGAATGAGTGGTCTACTCCCACTGCCGCCTCCTCTCTCTCTCTCTCTCTCAGAATCAAATGGGGTTAAGTGACTTGCCCAGGGTCTTACAGCTACTAAGTGTCTGAAGCCAGATTTGAACTCAGGTGCTCTATCCACTGAGCCACCTAGCTGCCCCTAAAATGGCTCTCTCAAAGGTCACCATGACACCCTAACTGCCAAATCAAATAGCTTTTCCCCCTATCCTCTGACCTGTTGCTGCATTTGACACTGCTTACCAGGACCCTCCCACTTAAAATTATCTTCTCTTAGATTTTGGGACACTAGGACACTGTCCCAGTATCGCAATGGCCTCCTTGTTTGTCTCTTCCCTTCTCCAAACCATCTTTCACATTGCTACCAAAGTGATTTTCCACAGCCTAGGCCTGCCCCTGCTCACAAACTCCTGTGGTTCCCTATCACCTCTAGGATCAAATGAGTATAGGCTCTTTTGTGCGATATTTAACACCTTGCACAGCCTTCCTCCTTTCTGGCCTTATTCTACGTGATGACTCTCCTTCACACACTCCAAAGTCCAGACAAATCGGTCTTCTTCCTGGCCCTTGCACAAGGCACTCCATCTCCCGTGTCTCTGCACGGGCTGTTCCCCATGTCTACTTCCTTCTTAGCTCTGTCTCCCGAAATCAAAGCTCAGCTCAACCACCACCTGCTATGGTAAGTCCTTCCTGGTTCTCCTAGCTGCTAGTGACTTCTTCCCCCTCCCCCGCCCCTGCCCCGCCATTACCTTGCATTAATTTAGTATAATAGAACTCTGTGTCTATACACACGGACACACACGCAAACATATATATTCCATCTCTATGTGATCTTCTATCATCACATATATAGATATGTGTGTGTGTGTGTGTGTGTATAAAATATGATTGAACACAAACTCTTTGAGGGTAAGGACTTTCATTTTTGTCTATCGGTAGTGCTTAGCACATAACAGGTACTAATTAATGCTGGCTGATTGCTCGGTTCTCTTCCTACCTCTATGGCCATTTCACCAGCTCCTCCTCCTCCTCTCGCTCCCTAGAAGTGTATATTCCCCCAGTTCCGGTCTCACTCTTTGCTCTTCTCTGCCTTGGCAACCCCATCCCTGTTTACTGCTTCGCCTACTCCGTCTACACAAACGATGCCCAAATCTACACTTCCAGACCTAAGCTAGCTTCTGAGCTGTAGCCCTGCATTTTCACTACTCAGTGACTGTCTTCCCTTGAATGCTTCCCTTCTGCCCTATAATATATGAATCATTCAAGAGTTATTATTTTCATTGTATTGAAGAGGGAATGCTCCATCTTCTCCCTCCCTCCCCCATATCTGCTAACAGATCATCATTGTCCTGGTCACCCAGGCTCAAAACTTCAGTCATATTGGACTCTTCCCTCTTCCTCAGTCTCCAAATCCAGTCACCAAGTCCGTTCAGTTCTTCCTTTATAATTTTCCTCATCTATATCCACCCTCCTTCCTTTCTATTCCCTGCACCATTGTCCTAATTCCAGCCCTTCCTGGTATTACCTCACTCATGGACTAATATTATATCTTCCTCAATGGTCTTACTATTTATCTTACTATTACTTCTCTTTAATGCACCCTCCAAGCCATCATCAGATTTACGTTCAGGAAGTACAATTCTGATCATTATCATTACCCTACTAGAAAACAAAACAAAACAAAAATAATAACTCTAATGACTCCCTGCTTCCTAAACAGGGTCCAAAATTCCTACTTCACCATTCAAGGCTCTCCACAATCTGTCCCCCAAATAACATACCAGCCTAATCTCCCAGATGTATATAAACTCCAAAACTCCAGCCAAGTTGAGCTGAGCAAGTCTTTTATATTTCTGGCTCAGCCTTTGAGCACGCCTCTGCCAAGGATGGCTTCCCCATCCTCTCTGCTAATCAACATTTATCTTTGGAGGCTCAGCTTACACTGCTGCCATCTCCATAAAGCCTTCACTGCTCATTCCAGCCAAAAATTCTCTCTCTCTCCTCTGAGATTATAGAGCACTTTGTTTAAGGCAGCTAAGTGACACAGTAGATAGAGCACTGGACCCACAGTCAGGAAGATGGGAGTTTAAAGACAGCTTCAGACACATACTAGTTGTATGAACCTGGGCAACCTCTCCTTAGCCTCAGTTTCCTTATCTCTAAAATAGGGATAATAATAACTACCTCACTGAGTAGCTGTGAGGATCACATATGTAATTCAGTACATGTAAAATACTTTGCAAACTTTAAAACACTATAAATATCAGCTATTACTGTTGTTATTACTCATGCCATTTCACATGTATATGTGTGTGTGTGTGTGTGTGTGTGTGTGTGTGTGTGTGTATACACACACATTCTATTTTCAATTAGGTCATAGGCTCCCTCAGAAAGCCCATATTATAAACCTTCTGAATGCCCCTCAGTGCCTCTCAAAGGGTTATGTAGCACATAGCAGATAGCACCAAAGTACTTACTGAATGAATATTTAGATGATAAATATAGCCTCTTAGACTGACTCACAGACACACACACACACACACACATACACACACACACACACACACACACACACACACACGCACACACAGAGCTCAGAACAGTTTTTCTCCACATTTCTCACCAGGTACTCTGCTTTTGGATTTCCTTGGAACTCTCCATCATCTCCTCTCCTCCCCACCAGCCCTGCACTGGGTATCTGCTCCCAGCCCTTCCTTCCCCTCATTTTCAGCTACCTTTTGTGTGTTGTCTTCCCCTCCTCCCATTAGACTGTAAGCTCCTTGAGGGCAAGGATTGTCTTTGGGGGTTTTTTGTATCCCCAGCACATAGTAGATGCTTAATAAATGTTCTATTATTGTTGTTGTGTTTTGTTACACACACCCAGAAGCTAACAGGCACACAAAGTCACACATATGCAAGCATGACCCCTCAGGCACACAAACATACATTTGAGATTCACAAATGCATGCACACATATATTCACAGTTATCCCTCCAGCTTCATCTAAATTAAATAAAAGTCTCCTTCCTTTGGACCCTGTGACCCTATTTCATCTCACAGAGGCCTCAAGGATGTGTACTAAAACACCAGCCTATGCAGGGGCCCAGGATGAAGCCACAGTGTGGTCCTGTACCAGGCACTATCCTGTGCCTGATACTGATACTGATACTGACCCTCCCCCTTCCCCAGGATGAAGGGATTCTAATGGACAAAGACGTAATCTCTGGGGATGGTGGCCCCCCAGACCTCATCAGCTGTTGTCTGGTGACAAAGGAGCTATATAAAACCCACCCTCCTTCTTCCCCGCCGCCTGTATTGTAGTCACCCCTGTGTGTGTGTGTGTGTGTGTGTACGCACGTGTGTGTACGCACGTGTGTGTGTGTGGGGGGGGACTAGTAGGGGAAAAAAGCAGATATTTGTGGGAAGTGGTGTCCTGTCCTCAGTTACAGGCTGAAGGGCCTCAGCCACAGCCAGAATGGTCCTCACCTCTTTCAGGTGGATTCTTGTAGGTGGCCGGCGCCGCTGTCCCCCTCTCACCCGATCTCGGGTCACATGTTCCAGGGCACAGCTTTTGTCCACCTTAACCTGAAAATGTTAATGAGACTACAGTCAGCTGTCTGCTCAAAGCCTTAGAAGGAAGAAAACAAAATGCTCTGGAATCAAATCCAAAACAACTCCAACCAATTAATAAGTATTGATTAATATAGAGATTATAGATCTAGAGATTAATGGATAGCTTAGGCACTGTTTTAGGTGCTGAGAATACAAAGATAAAAATGAAACCACCCCTGTCCTCAAGAGACTTACATTCTATTGGGGGAGATTTTATATATATATATATATATATATATATATATATGTATATGTATATGTATATGTATATGTATATGTATATATATGTATGCATGCATGCATGCATGTACGCATGTATGTATGTACGTACGTATGTATGTGTATGTATGTGTGTGTGTATGTATGTATGTATGTATGTATGTATGTATGTATGTATGTATGTATGTAAATACATAGAAGGTAGTGCATAAGATACGCTTTGAAGGAAACACAGGGTTCCAAAAACCGCGGGGACCTTCCTTGTTGCCCTTCTCCATCTTTCTTCATCCCTCTCAAGTACGTCTGGAGGCACTAGGAGCACGTCAGCAGGTCGTGTCCCACCTCTGGGCCTCAGTTTCTCCATCCATACAACTGGGATAGCAATCTCTATACCCCCAAAGTTATTCCCTAGCTGAATTGGAGTGACAGTATCTGTCACATTCCTGTACCTCCAACTCACTAGAAATGTCTCAGCAAACATCCAATTGCGTTACAGGCCCTGCCATGGAGCCCACTAGGTTCACAGGGAGCTGTCCACCACAGGAGGATGGAGGGCCACCAGTCTCCTACTTCAGACACAATAGGCATGGTCTCCATCTAAAACAGCACAGAAACAAAGGAAAGCAGATGGAAGGAGGCGAGAAGGGAGGAAGGGGGGAAGGAAAAGGGAGAAAAAGGAAAGGAAGGAGAAGGAGGAAAGGAGAAGAGAGTAAAAGGGAGAAGAGAAGATGGGAGGGAGAGGAGAAGGAAAGGTGGAGGACAGGGAGTGGAGATGGAGAGGAAAGGAGAGGAGAGGAAAGAGGGAGAAGGAGGAAAACGCCCAACCTGGCCTGAGTGTGAATCTTACTCTAGCCTGAAGAGTCAACTGCTTGGTGCTGCTACAGTGGGAATTACTCTCAATCCCTGCCTAAGCCCAGCTTTCATGCGTTTTGCGGCACTCTCAGGAACACCAGCAAAGAGATCAAAACCCACCTATAGCCTCCCCAAAACCCTCAACAGGTGGGTCAGTCACAATGGTCTATCTTCATGTAACAATGAAGAGCTTCCTCAGAGGGACAACAGTATGATGCAGTCAGTGGGGATCTTGCTAGGGAGGTGGTACGGTGGAAAGACGGCTGGATTTGGAGTCAGAGGACCTGGGTTAGAATCCCAGCTCTTACACATACTATCTATGCAACATAGGGAAAATCATTTAACTTCTCTGGGCCTCAGTTTCCTCATCTCTAAAATGGGGAGAAAGGGCTTGAATAAATGACCTCTAAGTTTCCTTCCAATTCAAAATTTATGATGCCAGGAGCCTATAAGTCAAAGATGACATTCTCAGTTCTTTCAAAGCCTCAGTGCCAGCATGAAAGGAAAAAGGAAGGAAGCAGGGTGTGTAGCTATGGCTACAATCATATCAGAAGACCTGCTACAGGCTCTAAGGGCCCTAAAGGCAAAGGCTGGCCTCTGGCTAACACCGCAGAGCCCCTTAATCCTCAGGACTGTTTTTTCCCTTGGCCATAATCTGTACCCTCTACTTTTGGTTTTTATTTTTCCATCCCAGCCTATGAGTTCATTAGCCTAGGGAATGCTTAGTGTAGAAATCCCACTAATTCAGGCTAACAACTTCATTGTAATTTATAGTTTTAGAAAGCAAGATGGGGGCATCCAAGGTTAAGTGACTCACCCAGGGTCACAAAGGCAAAAGTGGGAACTGAACCCAAATACTATTGACTCCAAGGTCAGGTCTCTGTCTGCTATACCAGAATATCTGTCTTCCTTTATCAGAATTTCTATATCCTGCATCCTAGCCTTTTGCTGCCAATAATTGGAAAGGATCTGACTAATGTGAGCTAAGCTGCATCTCACTGATAACAGGTTTAATGAATTGCGACTTCCCAGGTATTCACACTTTGGCAGGAGGTAATGTCTTTTCCCAAAGGAATCAATGACAAGACTTATTTTCAAGATGTGTGAATTTCACCAGAGTGGGTCCCCCCTCCACTGATACATATCATAGCTCCTATACCACCAGGTAGACTGTTAATGAAAATTCATCACCCTGTGGCCATCTCATGGTGAGGCTTTGAATTTAGGAAGGCTGGTCCTCAGATGAGAGATAAACTGTCTGTCCATGGGCCCATATTCAAAGCCTTTCCAGACTGGGAGGACCCAGGGTGACCACCCTGATTGCCACATCAGAGCAATACTTTTCACGGAAGGAATAACAACTTACACTTAGATGGTGTTTTAATATTTATGAGAGGCAATGTGGGGGAGTGGATAGAGGCAGAGTTAGGATTCCTGCCTTTGCTACCCCCTGCCACTGTGATCCTGGGCAAATCCCGTAACTGTTCAGTGCCCTGGGCAACCGTCTAAGAGTGTCAGAGATGTCCCAGAGAAGATGCTGACCTGTACTAGCAGAGGGAGCTTCCTCATGCTGAGGCTCTCTATGCCAGTAGAGGCAATCAGTGTTAAGTGATTTTCCCAGGGTCACATAGCTAGTAAGTGTCTGAGGCTAGATCTGAACTCAGGTCCTCCTGATTCCAGAGCAGTGTTCTATCCACCGCACCCCCCAGCTGCTCCAGTTTGGGACAGATTCAAAACTAGTGGATCTGTTTCTGGCCTCTTCAAAAATCACACTCATGCTGTGGGCAACCCTACCCACCGATCCCACATAGAGAAAGGGCCAAGCAAGAGCTGAGGCAAACCCACTGTCTTCTGCTGCTGACTAGTCTTTATGGCTCCGAGCAAGTCACTTCCCTTTTCTGAGACTCAGTTTCCTTCTCATAAAATGAGGGGAGCAGGCTAAATGAACCCCAAGACTGTTCCAGTTCCAGCCTAGGACTCTCACCTCATCAAAGGCTTTGTTCTTGCCTTTGTTGATGCCTTCATTGAGGGCTTTGATCCAGGACTCCTTCTCCTCCCCATTCTGAGCCTGGAATTTGATGTCATGAACCTGTCAAAGAAATAATACAGTTTAACAGGTTTCAGATGTTGTCTCTATTAGGGCGTGCGTCTGAACTACAACCTGCAAAGTGACAGAGAACACAGTCTTTAAGGGCAAGACTCCACCTTACCCCCCACCCCACTCCCAATCACATTTATTCAACTTCCACCCCCAAATAATCTCTCAGATACATGAATGTTCCTCAGCCAAGGCTGAGGCATCTACATGTTTGGGGAGTGGAGAAATAATGGAATTACAATGTTTTCTAATCCTCAGACCCAAGCACAACACCTGATACTTTCATTTGGGAAAAGGGTGGTAGGTAGGAAAACAGGAGGAGAAGAGGGGGAGGGGAATAAGAGCAGAGAAGAAGAAGGGAAAGGCAGAAAGGGCATTCTAAGGGAGCTTGCAACTGTTCCCAATTGGAAAAGCAGAATGAAGATGATGGAGTGGAAAGACCTCCAGGGCTGAATAAAAATAATAGCAGCTGACATCTCTATAGCACTTTGAAGTTTACAAAGAGCTCTCTGCTCACAACAACCCCAGTTGGGTTATCTCCACTTATCAAACTGAGGAGAGTTGGCCCAAAGACACAACTAGTAAACATCAGAGCCAGGATTCACAGTGAGGTCTTCTGACTCCAAGTTTAGTGCTTTATTACACACTACACCTATCTCCATTCAACCCTGGTAGAACTGAAACCAGCTCCCCTAGCCACACACCCCTTAACCCCAGCTTAATGTCAGGAAACCTGGGTTCAAGGCCTACCTTGGTCATTAACTCACTGCTTGGAAAAGATCCTAAATAATAACCAGAGTCTGTTCTTGTCATTCACTATCACCCTAAACTCCCCACTCACACTCTCCCTCAAATCCCTGTACCCAAGTCTTTCTGACCAGAGTCCCTCCCTTCTCTGTCCATTCTGTGCTTTGTTATAAGAGCACAACTGTCTACTGACAAAGTTCCACCTTCCCTCCCCACACCCCATCCAGGACACAGGCTCCTTTCCCACCAAAGAGAAAGGGAATGGTAAGGAGAGAAGAGGGATATTCAATTGATTTAATAACCAATTAGCCTTCAAATAGCAGCTTAAATTTATAGAATACCTCATTGTGTGAAAGCATCAGCAGAAGCTTTATTATCACCATTTTATAGATGGGGAAAGTAAAACTCAACTCCACTTGTTAGAACTGGCAGGGATGTTGGACATTCTACAGACCAGGAGTTCTTAAATCTTTTTTGTGTTATGAACCCTTCCGGGAGTCCAGCCACACCTCTTTTAAGAAGAATGCTTTTAAATGTATAAAACACAATATATAATATTACGAAGGAAACCAATTATATTGAAATAAAGATGTCAATTTTTTCCCATCTAGGTTCAGGGTCACCCTAGAGATACAATGGAGCCCCAGTTAAAAACCCCTCATCTGGACTGATCTCCTCACAGTGAGAGAACTGAGTCCCAGAGAAGAAGAGAGATGGGATTCAGCCCAGGTTTCCTGGCTCCAGGTCTAAAGTCCTTTCCTCTCTATATACCACCTTTCCTCTCTCCAAAAAATCCATTTATTTGTTAGATTTGTAGAAGGTATTTCTCCTGTCTCTACTTTGTTATTAAATATCAGCTTCCCCACTTTCCATGTTATATAATACCTTCTCCTCACAATTCATTATTATATAACACCTTCCTTTGCTTTTATATTATATAGAAACATTCCCAGCCCCTCTCCTCACCACCCAAGCTGCAGCATAATATAGTGTATATGGTACTGGACTTGGAGTCAAGAAGACCTGGGTTCAAATCCCACCTCAGACACTTAGTAACTCACTAGCTGGACAAATCACTTAATTTCTCTGGGCCTCAGTTTCCTAACATGTAAAATTAGAGGGTTAAGAAATCTATGATAGGCAGCTGGGTGGCATAGTAGATAGAGCTGTGGACCTGGAGTCAGAAAGACCTGAGTGCAGCTCCAGCCTCACACACTTTTTAGCTGTTTGACCACGGGCAAGTCACTTAACATTGTCTACCTCAGTTTTCTCATCTATAAAATGGGGATAACAACAGTATCTACCTCTCAGGGTTGTTGTGAGAATAATATTTGTAAAGTGCTTTGTATTTTTTAATTTTTTTTAGGCAATTGGGGTTAAGTGATTTGCCCAGGGTCACACAGCTAGTAAGTGTTAAGTATTTGGTCTGAGGCCAGATTTGAACTCAGGTCCACCTGACTTCAGGGCCGGTGCTCTATCCACTGCGCCACCTAGCTGCCCATGTAAAGTGCTTTGTAAACCTGAAAGCCCTATACAAATGCTAGCTATGAGCTAGTATTATCATCATCCTATGACTTAACCATGTACTCATTTGCATGTAGGTCATCAAGTAAAAACTAATTTCTCCCTCTCCTCAGCAACAGACCACAGAGATAAAGGATGGCAGCTCTGGGATGGGAATAAAGGAGACGTTGTCCCTGGAGAGGCAGATAGCAGGAAAACAATACCCTCTAACCAATGCATGTTTCTTCCACACTCTTAAGATACGGGTCTTCATATTTGGGGAACATAGGGGTAGTACATTGAGTCAGAAGAAAAACCAGGTTCAGATTCAATGGAGAATGGCGGTAGCATCAATGGACCTCTCCCCCTTGCCTCGAACTCCTAACTTCCCAGGCTTCTTCCAGTTCTCAGCTAAAATCTCCCCTGTACGAAGCCTTTCCTAGTCCCCTTCAACACAAAGGCCTTCACTCTGAGCTTATCACCAGTCTCTCCTGTATGTGTCTTGCTTGTACGTAGTTTTTTGCATGCTGTATCCCCCATTAGATTGTAAGTTCCTTGAGGGCAGGGACTATTCTTGCCTTTCTTTGCCTAAGTAGCCCTAGCACTTAGCACAGCACCTGACACACAGAAGACACTTAATAAATGTTTGCTGACTTGACCAAGAGACAAGTAAACCCAGATTTCTGTCCCATGTTAGCCACTAATTAGCTGTGACTTGGTCAGATCTCTTCATGTTTGAGCCTGAACCCCGTTTCCCTGGTGTGTAAAGATGAAAGGGTAGGACTAAGCTGCTTTGATTCAATGAGGGGTATCCCATTTTCAGACACACTGGAGAGAATTGGAAATGCAAGAGAAATGCACAAGGCACAAGTGTTATGGATATGCAAAAATTCATCAGTTACCCAGGGCCTCCTACTTTCACTGCCACAACTACCTCCCTCTTACCCTAGACAAAGAATTCCCTATCATCACCATTAATGATAAAGTCTTTTCTGCCTGCCTTTTTTCCCTGAAGGAAGTGGTTAGCTCTGGAAGGTAGCAGCTCATTCCCCAGGAAAATTACATTCTGGGAACCTCAGGCTACAGAGGAAGAATGAAATTCCAGTTAATAACATCATATCACACTTTATCCTTTCCAAAGTACTTTCATATCCATTATCTTACCTGATCCCTACAATCCTATGAAGTAAACTAGATGGGGACCCACTCTACCAATAGAGAAACAGAGGCCCAGAAATTTCCAAGGAATTTCCCAAGGTCACAAAGTGGCACAAGGCCTCAAAGTCTCCCAAGTTTTCCATTGAACCAAGCTGTCCAGCACCCTCACCCCTTCAGGAATAAAAACATTTAAAAAAAAAACTTGTCTAGTCAATACAGTGACCATCGGGTCACGATGGTGATCTTCAAGGGCTTCCTCCTAGAAACATGGGCTCAGCTTCACACTGGGACTTTTAAAAAAGGGGGAGGAGAGGCTTTTAAAAGGCCTCCTCTCATATCATATTTTAGAATCCTCCATTCAGCTGTTTCAATTTCCCTGACATATTTCAAGCCTTTCTCTTTAGCCCAAATGAATAAAGGGCCGCAGTAAGCTGGATACAGGCCAGAGAGACTGATGTCCCAGCATAAGAAAAGAAAAAAGAGAGAAGGAAGAAGAGAGAAAAAGGAAGAAGAAAGGAGAGAAGAGAAATAAGAGAAAGGAAGGAGAAAGAAGCAAAAGGAAAAGGGAGAAAAAGGTTAAGTGGAAGCCAGCCAAGACAGCAAGGGCCAGAATTGAGCACCAAATTATCCCAGCAGCCCCACAGCCGTGCTGACAGTGTCTGAGCATGACCTCATGGGTCAGGGGCGTGGGGACCCAGGGAGGCACAAAGAGAGGGGCTATACAAGACACTAGGGCTTTTGTTTATTTAATTAAAGTGGGGGGAAAGGTCCCTGGACTAGACAGCATTGCCCACGTGACTTCCATAGTCAGGCTTGTGGAATATGAAGGAGAACACACAGGGAGATTGAAAACATCCTGGAGACTGGCTGATGAGGGGGGTTGGAGAGGGAAGAGAGGGATGGGGATGACCTACTCCAGGAAGAGAGCACAAGGAGGAGGGCATCTCTAACACAGAGGCCCCTCTTCCCAAGAGAACTGGACTGCCTCCCTGCCTGCAGGCATATACAGCTCTAACAAGGAGAGCGCCTTCCTTATAGCAGGCTCTGGGGCAAAGGAGGGGTGGGGGTGAGGGGCCGAGGGCAGGGAGCCTGCTCCAGGAAATCAGAGAGAAAAAGGGAAATGTAGTAACCCCTAGGCCCCCTGCCCCAGGGGACGCCTAAGGCTTCATAGCCTCCTCTCCCTCTACTTCTCACTGCTGGGCAGAACTACATGAAGACAACAGGCATGGGGGCTCCCCGAGAGTGGGAGACCTATCACCTCAAACTGGACCAACTCCTTTCCCCTTCCCCCCTCCCCATTCATTTACTCCAACAAGCAGGTTATTCCTGTTTTTACCCTCGGGGAAAAAGGCAGGGGGTTAGACTAGATGACCTCTAAGGTCATTTCCCAGGCAAAGATTCTATGAGTGCCCAGAAGCTCAACCAGATGGGGGAGATGGGGGGAGGGGGATTTGAGGATGCCCATCTAATAGAGGCTCTTATTACCACCTACCTGGACTGTTTTATTAGCTTCCTAATAAGACTTACCGCTTCTACTCTCTCCAAACAATGTCACTCATCTGCTCAAAACTCTCTCCGATGGC